ATCTAATGGGAAAAGCTCGCCCTTCATCGCACGCTCTTAGTTATATGCCAAACACTATGTTTCTTTGACTGATTATCCAATTGCAAATGTTTATCGAACCCGCCCACAAAATCCTCGCCTCAAAAGATGTCGAAATAAGCCTAATACATGAATGATTCCTCCTCTTTTATAGAAGAATAAATGTGGCCTTTCTGAACTGTATCGGGATCAGATCTCCTCTCATACTATTTACCTTTACAATAAGAAATTTGATTGGCTGTTAGTAGATCCAATCTGATTGGTGTGACATACATACATCTCTCACTCACTAACTCACCCATTGACCCGTAACATACCCGACGCGCCGACTAAGAGATAATTTTTTTACAAAAAAATAACTCAAAAATGAAAATATCTCTTTCCATTTGCATACTACTAACTCACGAACTGTTTCAAACCTCAAGGCTCNATTTGATTGGCTGTTTATAGTAGATCCAATCTGATTGGTGTGACATACATACATCTCTCACTCACTCACTAAACTCACTCATCCATTGACCCGTCTATAACATACCCGACGCGCCGACTAAGAGGTATTTTTTTTTACAAAAAAAATAACTCAAAAAGGCAGCTAAAGGAGGAGGCAGCATGAAAAAGTTGTATAATTTTGTGTATCAAATCAAACTTGTCCATCCACTTTTTTTCTTTTGGGTATATATCCTCGAGCTTCTTGGCCGAATGCTATCGATGTTTTTGTCGCCGACTTTCGATCTATTAAAACCTATCTTTAGAAAGGTGATCTAAAGAAATTCATCCAATAATTATGGCATTAACCATCTTATAGTTACGGTTGTAAACCTAGCCTTTCTCATTCTGTGACAAGAAATGAATTGACTAAACCAGAGAAGTTGCTGAGCTGCCTGACAGGACAACCCTTAACATATTCATCAATCCACAGTAGGGCAACTCTACTAGCGAGCACTGCAGGGTTGCCACCCACCGGAATAAAAGAAAACCTTTTCTTTTCACTGACTGTAAAGCAATTTTCACTGACCATGCAGAATGATTATTCTGTCCATGAATCAACAAAAACAAGGGTGGCTCGAATTATTTATCAAGCAAAATTGCCTTGTCTATACAAAAGCATCTAATAAAATAATTTGCGGTAACCTTAGCATAAAATCCTCTAACTTTTCACTGACTTTGAACAGGGATTGAGAAAGTTCCCTGAGGTGATACTAAACTCCCTGACTTTTCGCTGACATTGAATAAAATCTAATTTCCCTTACTTTTCCCTGATCGTAACAACCTTGCACCAGTTTGACTGTTTCCCGACCGTCAGAGCATGTGAAGGCGGCGTGGCCGAGTGGTTAATGCGTTTAGGGCGCTGGATTTGAAATCTGGAGGTCCCTGGTTCAAATCCTCCACCCTACCACTATCCAGATTTGTTCGCAGTAGCCCCGATTTCAACTCCTCGACCGCGTCGTGTAAATAGCCAACTGTAAGTAAGGAAGTAAATAAGTAAAAGCTTTATTAATGTGTCAATGTATTTAGTTTTCACAACTAATTAGGGACACAACAAAAAAAAAAATTAAAATTATTTACAAATAAGGAGTAATAATAAAAATTTATATACAATTAAAATATGTAGCATGTGTAAATTGTACAATAAAACAATGGGTGCATAAGAGGTAGTCTCTAAGAATTGCAAAGGTTACAGCAGCTATTGTTGTTGTTTAAGAGTGAGGTTAGGTCTTTTTTCATAATGTTCTTTTTAAAAGATTCAATACTCGAGGAGCCTTTCAATTTATTATCTAGAATCTATTAAGATTCCCAACCAGTTGGGAATCTTAATAGTTTATGTTAAATTTGAAATATTTGTTTATTTATTTACAGTGTCCTCAATTAGCACATTTAATAGTGCTAAATACATTTGACATTTTCATTATTATTATTGTTATTATTATTATTATTATTATTATTATTATTATTATCATTTATTATTATTATTATGTTACGTTGCAAAACTAGGAACGTCCAAAAGATCTAAGGGAACCCTGAGATGTGAAAAATGTGATTTGTGAATCAACAGCAACAAACAGCAACAAAAACTTATATTTCACCTCACAGTTAAAAATTACAATGTTTTGCTTAAATAAAAACACAAATGATAGGGTTGCTGGCTACGAGTTAAAATAGAAACATATTGCCTCCTATTATGTAGATAAGAGGCAAACCAGTAATTTTCCAATATTGATCTCCTGAATATAAAACTCCATGTACACGTGTTCAAATCATTGACCGGGCTATTTTCTAAGAACTAGAAAGATGGGCCCTTCCTAGAAACAAGCAAAGTGCAAGGCAAGTGCCTCAGTCATCATTTTCTCATGGACATTGCCTCAGTCATAATTTGTTTCATGGACATTGTCTCGTTCATCTTTTCTTCATGCACATTGCCCCAGTCATCATTTTTTCATGGACATTGCTTCAGTCATAATTTTTTCATGACTTTGCCTCAGTCGTAATTTTTTTCATGGACATTGCCTCAGTCATCATTTTTTCATGGACATTGCTTCAGTCGTAATTTTTTTCATGGACATTGCCTCAGTCGTAATTTTTTTTCATGGACATTGCCTCAGTCATCATTTTTTCATGGACATTGCCTCAATAATAATTTTTTCATGAATATTGACTCAGTCATCATTTTTTCATTGACATTGCCTCAATCGTAAATTTTTCATGGACATTGCCTCAGTCATAATTTTTTCTGGCTACGGTCATGGAAAGGAATGCTTTAGCTGATCAGAAGCCAGGAAACTGGCCTAGTAAAGAAGACGTCCCGTTATTGCCACCGTATGAAGTAAGGAAAGTGAATTGTACTCCTTCAGACTCCACTGCCGGCGGTTTCTTGTCCTTTTTCTCCATACCATGACGCAAGCCCCTTGATAAGCGACACTAACTCGTATTCCTTATTTTACACCAAACATACTGGACAATCAAACTGTACATCAAAGCCGTAGAACCAGTCAGTGTCGTCTTTTGCTGAGAAGAAGGATCCTGATTTTTTTACCAGAATAGAGCCATCTGCGGAATCTTTCACCTCAGTGGAAACCGTGTACGCACCACTTTGTGAGCCAAAATGCTGAACTCCATGCAATGCAACAGGCTTGTTAACAGTAAAGTTAACACGGTCAGCGACAGAATTAATGTAATCCCACCATCCTCCTCCAGTTTGTGCCCGACAGAACTTTTTAAATCTGGAACATCGACGAATAGGCGTATATGCTTTCCTTGGAGTTTGCGGCTTGTATGGCAAAGGTGTTGATAAAACGTTGGCATAATGTTTTATCATGTCACCAACCTCTTGAAAAGAAAGAATGTAAGAATCGAATACAACAGAGGCAAACTCCCTCTGAGACATCAATGGAAACCTTATCTCTTTCACGATCTCTTCTCCCAGAATTCTCCTCTTGCCATCGCTTTCAGGAGTTATCCCTTGCCTCTCACTTTCTTTTGTGATCCAGCGATCAACAGCTTTAAACAGTTTCACTTCCTTCACGTTCAAATTTTCTTTCTTCACGAGAAACTCGACTACAGATCTCTCAAGTGCAACAAATTCATCTGACGTCACAGCTTCTTCTGTCTGCTTCTCGATCACTTCCCAGAATCGATCTTCCAAATCTTTATCTTCAAATTTCTGAGCGTGTGGCAGAATGCAAAACACGTTGGATGCTTTCAAATTGTCACGCAGATGTTCGGTACATTTCTCTGCGAGAGAAGGCACCATATATTTGTTCGCTAAGTATAGCACTTGCATTATATTGCTTCCGTTTAAATTCGCTTCGTCGGTGTACATAAAACGAAACAACTCCAACAGACTCTGGTAGTCACAGTCAGGCAGTTCAATAGAGTCTGTAGTCTCCGCCATTTGTCCATAGAACATGGCATAGAACACAGGACTGCTGATTGCAAGCACAAACTTGTGGGCTGGGATCACCCTCTTACTTTCACTTTCGCCAGTCGACACTGGAACAACAAATTTCACATCACTCAAGAGCTGATTGTTGAAAATAAACGTAGTTCTCCCCACGATAGTTGATCGTTTCGTCTGCCTCTTCTCTTCAACAATAGCCATCGTTGCTTGTCTTGATCTTCGTAGTTTTATTTTTTATAGCAATGTTTCGAGCTCTTCGCTTGTCGAAAACGAAACAGGAATAAGAATAAGCGGAAGTACTACTACTGGACAAGCCGAGTTTGATGTTCCTGCTTGTCACAATCTCACACAACCTCTTTAATTACTGAAAGTCTTGGAATCAAAATCAACCAAAACCTTGTAGCAAGCCGGTTTCTACCATGAGTGCCATGAAATCTCTGGGTGGACATATTGATCAGAATCAAGACTGGGAATATCATATTAAATTTATGAGATTTCCAAAAAGATTGCCGCTGGCATAAGTGACAAACACATATAAGCTGATATCAGGAATTTTGTTCCGCGTGAGGTACTTTATACTCTTAACATTTTTAATTCATTAATTCAACCTTGTGTCGATTATTGTAGTGTATTATGAGCATGTTGTTCAATGAGAGACTCACAGAAATCACAAAAGCTCCACTGATCTTGCTACACGTATCATAACCTTGGCTCAAATTATGACAGTAATAGTGATGAACTTTTTCGTGATTTAAATTGAAGCAAACTTAATCATCAACGGGCCATTAGTCAAACGATTATGTTGCTCAACACCTTATCAACCAGACCGCGCGAGATGATTTTAAAATGAAATCAGAAGATCACTGCTTCCAAAACGAACTCGTAGAGTAATTTACAACACATCTTTGTGAAGTTAGTTTCACATTAATTAACTACTATAGTTAGTTTGTTAGCTTAAATACTTTAGTGTTTTTAATTTCTTCTAATAATTTTATAGTTCACCTCCATAAAATACCATGTTAAAATAAAATCATATCACTTTTTAACTCTATTGACGCTATTAAACTGGATTCACGTTAACCGGAGCGCAGTGATTGGCTCATTACTCAAAGCCGGACTCATTTGACTCGTAAATCAGGGGACCTTGTTCAATCAGGGCTCAGAAAAATCCAACATACAAATGAAGATTTTCTTCTATATTTTATTCACTTTCCAAACCTAATTGACAAGCCATGATGACGTGACAAAACCTACGTTACAAAAGATGTCAGCCACATTACGCCGAGTGAAAAGCTGGCTATTGTCCATTGAATATAGAACTTTTCGCCGTTTCAGGTGAAGCGAACAAGAAACTTCAATGAAAATTAAATGATTTTACATCTTCACTATTAAGAAGATCACTAGACCGGTTTTGACTGTAATAACACACCAAGAAATCTTTCAAGAAATGAAAAATCTAAAACACGCGCACTACTCTTCAATACACGGGGGCACCCAACGGATCGTTTCGACAAGTTGTCTTGTTGAAAGTTATCTGTTCGGAAAAACTTTCTTCCTTGTCACCTTGAACTTTCGTGATGTGAGAAATTTAATGTTTTGGGATTGATAAAAATGTCCTTTTGGGTACCGAAAAAAGGTCAGCTATGATCTTAGGAAAGGATTAGAGCCAAGGTTTTCGGGAAATGGACAAAACAAGCCCTAATATATTCGAGAAGACACAAGTTCCCCTATAGACTGACCGAACAGATAAAATTGCATAGCGCAGCTAAAATTAACCTACCGAGCTTTAAAAGCACTCCAGATAGTCTAAAACGGTGTTTTAAAGCATTTTTCATAAAAACGTCCTTTAGTGCCCCTGAATACTAAAACTAAACTAAAGCGAAAATAAACGCGGGAAACTGACCGCGTGTTTCACATGTGCCATTATAGCTAGCATTTGATGAAGTCAAAGTGAATCGTACTCCTTCGCATTCATCAGATGTTCGCCCGTCTTCGCCATACCACGAGTTAGGGCCCTTGATAAGCGAAACTAACTTATACTTCTTATTTTCCTGCAAACATAATGGACGATCAAACTGCGCATCAAAGCCATAATATTGATTATTTTCTGCCGACTTGTCCTTTTCTGAAGCATAAGATCCTGATTGTTTCACAGTAGAGGAGTCATCTGTGCTATCCTTCACTTCTGTGACAACCGTGTAAAGTGACGGGCTTCGAAACAGAGAACTAAACACTGTCACGTTTGGAATCACAGTAACGCCACATATCATTACCTGGAGGAAAGATTTTGTCAAATCTTTGGAATCGATATCCAACGCAACCAATCCTTTTAACCTGTATGAATGGAAAAGATGATGTTAAAACACCACCATAGCGTTTCATCATGTCCTCTGTCTCTTTGGAAGTTAGAATGTGAGAATCGATTACAACAGAGGCAAACTCCTTCAGCGACTTCAATGGAAACCTTATCGCTTTCACGATCTCTTCTCCCAGAATTCTTCTCTTCCCATCGCCTTCAGGAGTTATCCCTTGCCTCTCATTTTCTTTTGTGGCCCAGCGATCAACAGCTTTAAACAGTTCCACTTCCGTCGCGTTCAACTTTTCTCTCTCCACAACAGACTCGACAACCTCGTTCCCAGGGTCCTCTCTCTTCCTCCCTCTGGTTGCGGCTGGTCACGTGTCTACGTATGCCAACGAAAGCCGCACAGAGAGTGGGTCCTCAACTTAAATTTAGTCAACACTGTCTGGGGAGATGAATGTTGCGCTGCTATGCAGACGTTATTTATTTTGAAAGTGAAGCAAGTTGTTTGTCAGAGATCCTGCCTGACCAATGCTACGTCGCTATGATCTGAACTTCTATGAGTATGAGATCCTAATTGAGAGGGAACTTTGCTCATTTTTCACTGCTTTTTTAAAAACCGTCAACAACCTGCTTAGGATTAGTTTAATCAGTTTTTCACAGCAAAAGATTTAAGTAACCGTCAAATTATCGACGGGATGCATTCAGCTGAATGAGAAGCTAGTTTCTTGGCCGAAAATTGGACTTA